TTGTTCATTTGTGGAATCAATTACCGCATATTATAACAGAGTAGGATCCCTTGATTGTTTCAAGCGTAGGTTAGACATACATAGGAATGACAAATATGTGATTAGACATAATATGACATAATAATGATAATATTATGTCTAATATAAGACAGATTAGACATATTTGAATCCATAACGGCTCTTGTGGATTTATTCTTATATATTGAGTTATATCCACCCTATAAATGAGTTAGGTTGGATATAAATAAGCACTGCCTCGCATGGGCCAATAGGCCTTTTGCAGTTACCTTCATAAGAACATAAGAACAAAGGTAACTGCAAAAGACCTATTGGCCCATACGAGGCAGCTCCACTCTATAACCACCCAATCCCACTCATACTTGTCCAACCCGCGCTTGAAACAATCGCGGGACCCCACCTCCACCACGTTACGCGGTAATTGGTTCCACAAATCAACAACCCTGTTACCGAACCAGTATTTACCCAAGTCTTTCCTAAATCTAAACTTATCCAATTTATACCCATTGTTTCGTGTTCTCTCTTGAGTTGATACTTTTAACATAATATTTGATGATAGAGTTACAAGATACGAGCTAGATGGTGTTGTGATTGCGAAGTCGGATTGCGAAAGGGATCTGGGAGTTATGATTAGTAAGAATTTAAAACAAAAGGATCAATGCATAAATGTTCGTAATAAGGCAAATCGGACACTTGGATTTATTAATCGCAGCGTTAGTAACAAGACACCTGGTGTGGTTCTCAAGCTATATCTTGCTCTAGTTAGGCCCCATTTAGATTATGCAGTTCAGTTTTGGTCGCCATATTATAGAATGGATATAAATTCACTTGAACGTGTCCAGCGTAGGATGACTAAGTTAATTCCCCAAATTAGAAATCTTTCATATGAAGAAAGATTAACAAAGCTTAAGTTGCATTCACTGGAAAGGCGAAGAGTTAGGGGTGACATGATAGAGGTTTACAAGTGGATGAATGGACATAACCGGGGGGATATTAATAGGGTATTAAAAGTATCAACACAGGACAGAACACGAAACAATGGATATAAATTGGATAAGTTTAGATTTAGGAAAGACTTGGGTAAATACTGGTTCAGTAACAGGGTTGTTGATTTGTGGAACCAATTGCCGCGTAACATTGTGGAGGTGGGGTCCCTCGATTGTTTCAAGCACGGGTTGGACAAGTATATGAGTGGGATTGGGTGGTTATAGAATAGGAGCTGCCTCGTATGGGCCAATAGGCCTTCTGCAGTTACCTTTGTTCTTATGTTCTTCTTATGTTCTTAATACCCTATTAATATCCCCTTTGTTATGTCCATTCATCCACTTGTAAACCTCTATCATGTCACCCCTAACTCTTCGTCTTTCCATGAATGCAATTTAAGCTTTATTAATCTTTCTTCATATGAAAGACTTCTAATTTGGGGAATTAACTTTGTCATCCTACGCTGGACACGTTCAAGTGAATTTATATCCATTCTATAGTACGGCGACCAAAACTGAACTGCATAATCTAAATGGGGCCTAACCAGAGCAAGATATAGCTGAAGAACCACACCAGGTGTCTTGTTACTAACGCTTCGATTAATAAATCCCAGTGTCTTATTCGCCTTATTACGAACATTCATGCATTGATCCTTTTGTTTTAAATTCTTACTAATCATAACTCCCAGATCTCTTTCGCAATCCGACTTCGCAATCTCAACACCATCTAGCTCGTATCTTGCAACTCTACCATCATTACCTAGCCTCAAAACTTTACATTTACTAGCATTAAACTGCATCTGCCAGTCTTTTGACCATTTTAAAACCCTATTTAGAGCAACTTGAAGTGATAGCGAGTCTTCTTTCGTGTTGATTTCCCTACCGATTTTTGTATCATCTGCAAATTTGCAGATGTTGCTACTCAAACCTGAAACTAAATCATTTATATATATTATAAACAACAGAGGTCCCAGGACCCTGAGGTACTCCACTAACAACATTATCCCACTCTGACTTAACCCCATTTATACTAACTCTCTGTTTCCTTTGGAATAGCCGTGCCCTAATCCAACTTAATATAGCATCCCGAATACCATGAGCTTCTATTTTTTTAATTAGTCTTGCATGTGGCACTGTATCAAAAGCTTTGCTAAAGTTAAGGTACAGAACATCACAATCCTTACCACTATCAACTGACTCACCTATGCTGGAATAAAAAGTTAGCAAATTTGTTTAACATGAACGGCCATTTGTAAAACCATGTTGCGACTCATTTATTAATTTATGTTTTTCAAGATGGAGACGAATTGTATTTGCAATTATTGATTCAAGTAACTTTCCCACAATAGACGTTAGGCTAATTGGCCGATAGTTTGACGCAAGTGATCTATCTCCTTTCTTAAAAATTGGTACCACATTAGCTACCTTCCATGACTCTGCCTGACTCTATTGATTTATTAAATATGGTAGACAGTGGCTCGGAAAGCTCCTCTTTGCATTCTTTAAGCACCCTGGCAAACACTTCATCCGGCCCTGGGGATTTGTTTGGTTTTAGTTTTTCTAATTGTTTAATTACATCCTCCCTGGTAACTGCTAAACTAGTCAACCTGTCCTCATCCCCACCCACATACACTTGTTCGACTGAAGGCATATTGTTAATTTCCTCTTTAGTAAATACAGATACAAAATATTTGTTAAAAATACTACAAATCAGCTTTTCGAAAATCTGGCACTTTAACAGAATTTTGTCCTACAGGTCCATTCCATTCTACGCTAAATCTGATTTCTTTGTGATCACTCTTTCCTAGCTCACTCCCTATTCCGATGTCATTAATTTGTGTTTCCCTGTTAGTTAACACTAAATCTAAAATATTTTTTTCCCGCGTTGGTTCCTTAATGTGTTGCGTAAGAAAGCAATCGTCAATTAATTCTAGAAAATCTTCTGTTTCACTATTCCCTGTTCTGTTCAACCAGTTTATTCCACTAAAGTTAAAGTCACCCATGACATAAATACTGTTAGATCTAGATGCTCTAGATATTTCATCCCATAGATGCTTTGCTTCCATTTTGTCCAAATTTGGTGGCCTATATATAACTCCTATTATAATATTATTTGCTTTTTCGTTTAATTCTATCCAAATAGTTTGGATTCTGTGTGTGGCTAAGTTTTGATTCCCTCTTTGATACTACATTTCAAATTGCCCCTGACATATATGGCTACTCCCCCTCCTCGTCTAATATATCTATTTGTGTGAAATAGTTTAAATCCATTTATTTGATATTCAGCTAATAGTTCTCTATTTTCTACATTCATCCAAGTTTCGGTATGTGTAATAATATCTATTTTTTCTGTGCAGACAAGAGAATTTAATTCGTTAATTTTATTTCTTAGACTTCTACTGTTAGTGTAATATACCCTAAGTGAATTGTTATTTTGAGACCCTTTTCTTTCTCTGATCATTTTGCCAATTCTTTTCTCCCACGAGCACATACTTCTATTACCTCCTTCCTCCAAATCAATTCCCATACCACTATCTACTAACAGTTTAAACCCAAACAAACACCTCTAACCACTGGTTCCAACGAGTTCGCAACAGCAACAACCCCAGCCCTCGATAGATGCACCCCATCACGAGCATACATTTCATTTCTTCCATAGAAGTGTTCCCAGTTGTCTATGAAAGATATTGCATTTGATTTGCAATATCTTTCCTTCCGGCAATTGACACCAAGTGCCCTCGACATCCATTCATTACCCACTCCCTTTCTTGGAAGAATGCCACATATGATCGGGATTCCTCCCTTGCTCCTAACTAATTCACTGGCTGTCCTGAATCTCTGTATTAGTTCCTCACTCCTAACTCGTCCAACATCATTACCCCCTGCACTAATACAAATAATGGGTTTGTTCCCATTTCCCGTCATAATATAATTCATGTTTCCAACAATATCACCAATTCCAGCTCCCGGATAGCAAACCCTTAATCTGTTCCCCCTATCTCTGGCACAAAACGTTCTGTCTAAATACCTCACCTCACTTCATTCATATGTTGAACTAGCTGTCCCCGGCCACGCGTTGCTGTTGCCGTTGACCGCCACAACAACGTCCCAGGAAAGAGCCTTGAGGCACTCCACTTACAACATTTTCCCAGTCTAACTTAACCCCATTCATACTAACTTCTTGCTTCCTTTTTAGAGTAAGAGTCTTGTATGTAAACAAGAATGAGTTTCGTTGCATTATTGCCAATATAAAATATTTTTGGCAATAATGTATAAAATATATATATTATATATATACAATTATATATAAAATATATATCTTCTGTATATTTTTCAGTGTTGATCCCGAGATTCTGGATGAGTCAACATTGGGCGAAATAATATATGCATTATTATAATATAACATTTATTGTAAACATTGTGTAATTATACACTGTGCGTAATATAAAGTTTTGATCGTATATTAAGCCATTTGAACATTAAAATGTTCATATTGAAATATATGAAATACATATATTGAAATATATGAACATTTATTGTTCATATATTTCAACATATATTGAAATATTTGTACCTCCTGTTACCTCTCTTTGGCCGGAGAGGTAACAGGACAGGCTGTTGAGACATGGGACAGCCTGCCTCTCACGGATGGACGGAAGGATGTAGGCTGGACGCAAGGACGCAGGCTGGAAGCAAGGATATACGTTGCTTCCAGACCCAATCTAGACGTAACTTCCTGAAACAGTCTGGACTCGATTCTTCATGTGAATTACTGAAGGATACTGTTTGAAGCATACTGAAGCAGGCTGGACGGAACATACTGAGCAGGCCGGACGTGACATACTGAAGCAGGCTGGACGTTAAATACTGAAGCAGGCCGAGCGTAACATACTGAAGCAAGCTGGACATAACTTACTATAACAGGCAGGAATCTGGCCCGTACGTAAATTACTGAAGCAGGCTTGAAGTATTCTACTGGAGCAGGCTCGCCGTATCCTGATGAAGCAGGCTCAACGTATCCTGCTAAAGCAGGCTCGCCGTATCCTACTGGAGCAAGCTGGACGCATTTTACTGGAGCAGGCTGGACGCATCTTACTGGAGCAGGCTGGACGCATCTTACTGGAGCAGGCTGGACGCATCTTACTGGAGCAGGCTGGACGCATCTTACTGGAGCAGGCTGGACGCATCTTACTGGAGCATGTTCGACGCATCTTACTGGAGCAGGCTGGACGCATCTTACTGGAGCAGGCTGGACGCATCTTACTGGAGCAGGCTGGACGCATCTTACCGAAGCGTGTTGGACGCATCTTACCGAAGCGTGTTGGACGCATCTTACCGAAGCGTGTTGGACGCATCTTACTGGAGCAGGCTGGACGCATCTTACTGGAGCAGGCTGGATGCATCTTACTGGAGCAGGCTGGATGCATCTTACTGGAGCAGGCTGGATGCATCTTACTGGAGCAGGCTGGATGCATCTTACTGGAGCAGGCTGGATGCATCTTACTGGAGAAGGCTGGATGCATCTTACTGAAAAAGGCTGGATGCATCTTACTGAAGCTGGTTGGACGCATTTTACTGAAGCAGGCTGGACGCATCTTACTGAATCAGGCAGGGTGACTACGACTGATTCAGGTTGGATGCATCTCACTGAAGTAGGCTGGATGTATCTTACTGCAGCAGGCCGGACGACTTCGATTGATGCAGGCCGGACGAATTCGACTGATGCAGGCTGGATGCATATTACTGAATCAGGCAGAACGACTATCACTGATTTAGGCTGGATGCATCTCACTGAAGAAGGCTGGATGCATCTTACTATAGCAGGCCGGACGACTTCGATTGATGCAGGCTGGACGAAATCGACTGATGCAGGCTGGATGACTACGACTGATGCAGGTCGCCCGCTAATCTGCCCGACCGTTGCTGGTGTAGACTGGCTGAAGTGGTCCATGATACACTTCCTTGTGAAGGAGAGTAAAGACCAATGAATCACAGGAAGAATTGTACAGGACTGAAGTAGGCAGATTATTATACAGGACTATATTAGACAGACTGTAATATATCCGTGTCACCACACCTTACTGGTCACGTGAAAACGTTCTTAGAACACAAACACAGGAAATTGTAGAGTGCGCTTTTGTCCCATTAGAGGCTGCGGTTTATTTCCCCCAAACTCTTTAAATATATATATATATATATCCAGTCAGCTTCAGTTTTATATATGTATATATGTATATATATATATATATATATATATATATATATATATATATATATATATATATATATATATATATATATATATATAGTTGTGCAATAATTGGCTGTTGATTGCTGGTGTTGACTTCTTGATGTGTAGTGCCTCGCAAACGTCAAGCCGCCTGCTATCGCTGTATCTATCGATGATTTCTGTGTTGTTTACTAGGATTTCTCTGGCGATGGTTTGGTTATGGCAAGAGATTATATGTTCCTTAATGGAGCCCTGTTGCTTATGCATCGTTAAACGCCTAGAAAGAGATGTTGTTGTCTTGACTATATACTGTTTTTTTTGGAGCTTACTTTCCCCAAGTGGGCATTTGAAGGCATAGACGACGTTAGTCTCTTTTAAAGCGTTCTGTTTTGTGTCTGGAGAGTTTCTCATGAGTAGGCTGGCCGTTTTTCTGGTGTTATAGTAAATCGTCAGTTGTATCCTCTGATTTTTGTCTGTAGGGATAACGTTTCTATTAACAATATCTTTCAGGACCCTTTCCTCCGTTTTATGAGCTGTGGAAAAGAAGTTCCTGTAAAATAGTCTAATAGGGGGTATAGGTGTTGTGTTAGTTGTCTCTTCAGAGGTTGCATGGCTTTTCAATTTCCTTCTTATGATGTATACATCATAAGGTTCTCCGTCGGCTTCGGGCTGTTTTTGACAAAACCAAGAAGACTTCCGAACTCCATATCAAAAACAGCCCGAAGCCGACGGAGAACCCTCTACAGCAGTCAAGCGTTGTATACATGTACACTTGCCCCCACGAAGGATGTAACCTTCAATGTAAGTACATAGGTATGACGTCGACCAAGCTGACGAGGCGTTTGACATGCCATCTTCAATCTGGTGCCCCTAGGAATCACATGAGACAAGCCCATGACATTACTCTAACAGAGAAATGTTGAACAAGAATACTTGCATAATAGACAAAACCCAAGATTCAAGAAGATTACAAATTCTTGAGGCAATTCACATAAGAATAGAGCGACCTACCATGAACACCCAAATCACGGAACTATTTACTCTACCCACCATGAGAGTAAGGACAAGACAAGAACATATCGATGCCAACACAGAAGACAATGTCCAACATAACAGGCCAATTACACTGGATTAATCTTTGTGTTTAGATAGGAGATGCCTCGTATGGGCCAATAAGCCTTCTGCAGCCCCTATGTTTATCCCTTATGTATCCCCCCATGTTTTCACCTTCATTGTATTATCACCTGACCTAATGCGGGTATAAAATCAACTAGTATTGTAAGATCTGTTCACTTGAGAATGAACCATGGAGGTTCGAAACGTCGTGCAAATTATACAAATAAGTGTAATACACTCTATAGTAAATCACTTCTTTTCTTCACCTTAAAAGTACGAAAATGAGTTTTGGAGAACTCCTATTTCAATTAAGCCCTGATGCTAAGAAAATAGTTAGAGGGATAGAAGCCCTAAACCAGAAAATAATAAATACAGAATATGCGGTCATATTCAATGAAATATATATATATGTTTATATCACGAAAATAAACACATGATTAAGAATGTGACAATGTCAGACCACGGAGGAAAAATGAAACAGGAATTTCCTTAAGTACTTTCGTATATTAAATACATCTTCAGAAGGTCAAATACATCTTCAGAAGTGTCTGACATTGTCATATATATATATATATATATGACATATATATATATATATATATATATATATATATATATATATATATGACATATATATATATATATATATATATATATATATATATATATATATATATATATATATATATATATATATATATATATATATATATATATATATATATATATATATATATAATGTACGAAAGATTGAGAAAATTCGTGTTAGAATTATTAATCTTACTTTTTCGGTCATATTTAATAATATGTCTACAGGAAAGACTGCTACCAAAATATACTAATATATATATATATATATATATATATATATATATATATATATATATATATATATATATATATATATATATATATATATATATATATATATATATATATATATATATATATATATATATATATATAGTGCCTCGCAATAATTGGCTGTTGATTGCTGGTGTTGACTTCTTGATGTGTAGTGCCTCGCAAACGTCAAGCCGCCTGCTATCGCTGTATCTATCGATGATTTCTGTGTTGTTTACTAGGATTTACTAGGTAAGAATATATATATATATATATATATATAACCTAAGCTTTTAATAATCAAGTAATTCATTTGTATTATCTAACTCGGTATAATTTGTCCCAAAGATCAACCACCTACTTCTAAACCAGAATTTACCCTTATATATCAGGTTTGAGTAGCAACACTTGCAAATTTGTTGATGATACAAAAGTCAGTAGGGAAATAACAAAGAAGAAGACTCACTAACACTTCAAGTTTATCTAAATAGGGTTTTGAAATGGTCAAAAGATTGGGAGATGCAGTTTAATGCTGATAAATGTAAAGTTCTGAGGCTAGGTAATGATGATAGAGTTACATGATACGAGCTTGATGGTGTTGAGATTGCGAAGTCGGATTGCGAAAGGGATCTGGGAGTTATGATTAGTAAGAATTTAAAACCATACGATCAATGCATGAATGTTCGTAATAAGGCAAATAGGACACTGGGATTTATTAATCGAAGCGTTAGTAACAAGACACCTGGTGTGGTTCTTCAGCTATATCTAACTCTGGTTAGGCCCTATTTAGATTATGCAGTTCAGTTTTGGTCGCCGTACTATAGAATGGATATAAATTCACGTGAACGTCTCGAGCGTAGGATGACTAAGTTAATTCCCCAAATTAGAAATCTTTCATATGAAGAAAGATTAACAAAGGTTAAGTTGCATTCACTGGAAAGGCGAAGAGTTAGGGGTGACATGATAGAGGTTTACAAGTGGATGAATGGACATAACAAAAGGGATATTAATAGGGTATTAAAAGTATCAACACAAGACAGAACACGAAACACTGGGTATAAATTGGATAAGTTTAGATTTAGGAAATACTTGGGTAAATACTGGTTCAGTAACAGGGTTGTTGATTTGTGGAGCGGATTACCGCGTATCGTGGTAGAGGTGGGGTCCCTCGATTGTTTCAAGCGTTGGTTGGACATGTATATGAGTGGGATTGGGTGGTTATAAATAGGAGCTGCCTCGTATGGGCCAATAGGCCTTCTGCAGTTGCCTTTGTTCTTATGTTCTTCCGTGTTAAATTCCCTACCGATTTTTGTATTATCTGCAAATCTGCAGATGTTGCTACTCAAACCTGAATTTTAATCATTTATATATATTATAAACAACAGAGGTCCCAGGACAGAGCCTTGAGGCACTCCACTAACAACATTATCCCACTCCGACTTAACCCCATTTATACTAACTCTGTTTCCTTTGGAATAGCAATGCCCTAATCCAACTTAATATAGCACCCCCAATACCATGAGCCTCTATTTTTTTAATCAGTCTTTAATATCTTGAGGACTTTATTTTATTATTAACATCTTTATTGACAAAATTAATTACAATTTTGCCTAATCTGAGGATTTCGATTAAGTCTTATTAAAGTGAGGATAATGCTGGTAATCACTGTCACCCAGGACAGAGAACATAAGAATATAAGAACAATGGTTAAGGGTTTGCTATCCGGGAGCTGGAATTGGTGATATTGTTGGAAACATGAATGATATTATGACGGGAAATGGGAACAAACCCATTATTTGTATTAGTGCAGGTGGTAATGATGTTGGACGAGTTAGGAATGTGGAACTAATACAGAGATTCAGGACAGCCAGTTAGGAGCAAGGGAGGAATCCCAATCATATCTGGCATTCTTCCAAGAAAAGGAGTGGGTAATGAATGGATGTCGAGGGCACTTGGTATCAATTGCCGGCTGGAAAGATATTGCAAATCAAATGCAATATTGCCGCGTAACATTGTGGAGGTGGGGTCCCTCGATTGTTTCAAGCACGGGTTGGACAAGTATATGAGTGGGATTGGGTGGTTATAGAATAGGAGCTGCCTCGTATGGGCCAATAGGCCTTCTGCAGTTACCTTTGTTCTTATGTTCTTAATATCTTTCATAGACAACATTAGAACATAAGAACAAAGGCAACTGCAGAAGGCCTATTGGCCCATACGAGGCAGCTCCTATTTATAACCACCTAATTCCACTCATATACTTGTCCAACCCGCGCTTGAAACAATCGAGGGACCCCACCTCCAGCACGTTACGCGGTAATTGGTTCCACAAATCAACAACCCTGTTACTGAACCAGTATTTACCCAAGTCTTT